AAAATATGTGTAATAGGTCAAACTGTAAACTAAAATATGTGTAATAGGTCAAACTGTAAACGAAAATATGTGTAATAGGTCAAACTGTAAACTAAAATATATGTAATGGGTTAAACTGTGAATGAAAAAATGTGTAATAGGTCAAACTGTAAACTAAAATAAGTGTATTAGGTCAAACTGTAAATGAAAATATGTGTAATAAGTCAAACTGTAAACGAAAATATGTGTAATAGGTCAAACTGTAAACTAAAATATGTGTATTAGGTCAAACTGTAAACGAAAATATGTGTAATAGGTCAAACTGTAAACGAAAATATGTGTAATAGGTCAAACTGTAAACAAAAATATGTGTAATAGGTCTAACTGTAAACAAAAATGTATGTAATAGGTCAAATTGTTGAAGAAAATATGTGCAATAGGTCAAACTGTAGACGAAAGTCACAGTTATTTAGGAACGAACTGCTAAATATGCGTACATCGCTTCGATCTTAATAGTTAGTGAAAAGTTTTCATAACTGTGTAAATTTCTGTCCTTATAAGATGAGACTCAATTATTTTAAATATATTTTAATTACTCATATATTTCTGAAAAGAAATTGAGTCTCATACTCTCATTTTATAATCCCTCTTTGCTACCCATTTATCAGGTTGCAAATATATAGGGATGGGAAAATTTGAGTTAGTGGCAAAGATTCGGTCGTTTCCTTTTTGGGAATATTTTCTGAAATAGACATTTTACAAAATTTTAGTTTAGTTTAGTGCTTTTTCAATAATTTAAAAGAAAAATTAAAACATTAATTTCATAATTATCTGATTTGCGATTCTCAACATTTCTTTGTGCATTTCTTTGGTTTTCCGCTGTAAAATATTTTAGAATAGATATCAGTCAGAATTGCAAGCATTTTTGTATTTTTTCTTCCAACTTTGAAACCTAATTTACTATAATGAAGCTGTTCTGTATGTTTGTGATGACTAGAGAGAAATGTTTTACAAGTCCATATATCTACATACTACTCTCTTATTCTTAGAAAAATAAAACTTTTAATGTAATTTTCAAGAAAATTAGGAAATTAATGAAACCACTGAGAAGAAACTGAAAAGAGTTTGTATATACTAGCTGTACCCATTTCACTAGCTAATCTTTAAACAATAATCCGTGAAGAGTTTGTATGTACTATGTACTAGCTGTACCTTTATTCATAAAAAATAGCATTAAAGGGATCTTTTATGTAATTTAGATGTACCCCCATTTAATTACACGATTGTTTCCCTTTAAACCTTTAAATGATCAATTATGTGGCAAAAAACGTCGTTTTCGATGCTTAAAAATTTGTGTTTGTCTCTAAAAGTTTTCGCCAATGTTTCTGTGTCAGAAATTCGCAACTCAACTGTGTAGAGAACCCATAATTGAAAGTAATAAAGTTTTAAAGTTAAAAATGATGGTTATATCATTTATTCTAAATTAAGCAAAACTTTTAATAGTATGTCGTTGTGAATCGGGCATTACTTTTACAATCGAGTATTATACTTGAAATTACGCATATTTTCCCCTTTTGAAAACTGTAAATTTTCTGAATACCCTTTAATTATGTTCCTTTGCTTTGTTTTAATTGAGTAAAAATAAAATTATGTACAGACATCAAGTTTTGATCTCTCAACTTACAGCCTTATATAATTATAACATAGCGTATATACTCTAATACCTTTATTCTTTTTCATTAATATATGTGTTTTTTAGTACAAAAAGTTTATGTATGTATTTTGTATACTAACTAATAAGTATTCTATACGGACGTGATTGGAATAAATCGGAAATAGTAAATGTACTGAAAAATGTAAATAAGTACCCATACCCATGAGATGTTTATTGTTTAAGTTAGATACCATATTTTTAAATGACCATTTTAAAGCATTCATGATATAAAACTAACTGTAATAAAGTGTTATTTTTCATTTAAATTAATAATCTTTTATTTATTTATACTCGTAGTCCAGCTGAAAGCTTGTATCTTTATGCCTACCCCCCTATTTAAATTCACAATGATTTCCCAAGAATTTTACCGCAGGAAGTAAAGTTTTGTCAGAAATAGATTAGAAAATGATGAAATTGTTTTTTAACGAGTTTAAAACTTAGACTATATGATATTTGATAAACTGTAGAAAAAGAAATATTTGAAAGATATGAGAAACTCTGATTGAATTTAGATATATACTTTATGTATTTTATTAGAAATAAAGATGAAGGGCTTAAAGTCTTAAATCTTTAAGTCACACATCCGCCAAAGACAATGTCCCTTTGAACAAATTTCTGCGACAATGGTTCAACTATCAGCGTAAAGATCTCCGTTTAAGTCTAGTAATCCTTGTTTTACCCTGACGATATTAATAAAACCTATCACTTTTTTCATTTTCAGTTTCCATTTATAAAATATACTTTTTGCAGAAAAAAATAGTTTTCACTTCTTTCTTTTAAGACCCACTTTATATCCATTATTTTGTTAATTGAGAATTTGTCGCCAACTATGATTTTCTAATCCCTATATCTTTGAAATTCAATGGGGAAAACCTTTGATATTTCAAGCTTAGATTATTTGATCCTAAA